AAAAAAAAAAAATAACGGCTTCAACTTCAAATACAACGGATATAATCAGGCTTCATGCTGTTGACCGCTCAGAAAAATGCTTGTTGTTGGTAACGAAAAGTTTTGTTTTCAGGTTTTGGATTATGTGGTATCCCAGAAAACCTTATCATGGCTTTAAGTGAGACTGGTGTGAAAGGGCTCACTTGCGTTTCGAATAATGCCGGCGTCGATGATTGGGGATTGGGAATCCTTCTCAAAACACGACAGGTTACTCTTGTCTTATTATGCTGTTCCTATTGAACATGTATAGATGAGATATTGAAAAATAATAAAATTAGTCAAGACTTCACATTTTGGCTGAGAAGTAGTTGTATTTGGCTTGAAGACAGAGGAATCAACGTTATGTCGTCATCGCAACTAATTCCTTTCAAATTTCCAGATCAAGAAAATGATTTCTTCCTATGTTGGTGAAAACGCGGAATTTGCTCGGCAGTACTTGTCTGGAGAGCTCGAACTGGAATTTACTCCGCAGGTCGGTTTATGTATCGTTCTGTTTTGTTTTCTATATTATCTAAGGAGCCAACGGGCTAGTTGAAGCATAGTTCGACGAGGAGTAATCTCTGTACTCCCCCAGTTGCGGATTACTCAACATAAGCTTTACACTGTTTTGGTTCCTTCATGTTCGGCTATTGGGTACTCATCTCAGGACACCTTCATAACTCCGTTCGTAAAAACGCTTGAAAAAGAGAATGAAGCAGATTTGAAGCTGCCTCTAGCTCTACAAATGATTGAATCTTATATCGTCTCTAGATACTTTTTTCCTTGTTGTCGCAAGCAATTTCTAGAAGACACGAAAAAAGCCATTGAAAGTATCACAACGGAGTTGATGCTGAGGAAAAAAACGCTTTGATTTTAAATGGATAGGGATGTGTGATGCAAACGCGCCATTTCTTGCTAGTCATTTGTGATTGTTAAAGACACTGAAGATGGATTTTTGAGAGCGTGAAAAAGATGGATATTTGTTTGAGAAGCTTGTCTTATTTGTTTGTACTCGTTGGTCAGTGCCAGACTCCGATGTGTTATGTCTACATTCATTCATTTTAACCTGAAAGCTTTTCGCATGGAGGTAGCGAAAATATGTGTGATTTAAATTATGTTTCAGGGTACCCTAGCCGAGCGAATTCGAGCAGCTGGAGCTGGCATTCCTGCGTTTTATACTCCAACTGGATATGGTACATTGATACAGGAGGGAGGTGCTCCAATCAAGTACAGCCGAACTGAGAAAGGGAAAATCGAAGTTTCAAGTCCTGCTAAAGAAGTGAGTTTGTTGAAAATGATCGTAATATGGATCGAACCCCTATATCCCTTTCAAACCAGTGCTATCCTGCCCCTATCGATCTCTTAACTAGACATTCGTAGTCTTGCCGGCCGCCCATTAGTTATCTGCATTAATGACCAGTTCTCCAGACTCGTATGTTCAACGGTTATAATTATGTGATGGAAGAGGCAATTTGGGGAGATTTCGCTCTCATCAAGGCTTGGCGTGCTGACAAACTCGGCAATATCCAGTTTAGGTGAGACACATCTTTTTCCTGCATGTATACTTCTGCAGGAACGTCAGAGAGATCTTGAAGTAGGAGTTGCGATGCTGTATAACGTTGAAGTAATCACAACCTAGAAGATCGTCTGAGGTGACTCTTTGTATCGATGTTTTAAACAGTTGTAATTTGAGGACTGGTGCAACCGCATTGCGTGATAGTTTGCAATAGCAATAGAGGCGAAAGGGGGTCTATTGGGGTCATTTCAATTGTGTGAGCTAAACGCTATTCAGACGTGTGCTTAACTCTAGCGCCTGAAGATTACCTTGTCTATGTATGCTGCCTTATCTAATCTATGTATGCTTAGATAAGGCAGTGTAATTCTCGATAAATCTTATTTGAAGGCTGGCAGCTGGTAATTTCAACAATGCCATGTGCAAAGCGAGCAAATGTACAATCGTTGAAGTGGAAGAGATCGTTGAGCCAGGTGTTATTGAACCTAATAATGTATGCTTTTGTGGAATTTCATTAATTTATGTGAATCTTTCCAAAATTTACCTTGAAAATTTGTGGAAGTTCAATTTCTTTGTATAGGTCCACATCCCATCTATCTACTGTGATCGCCTCGTACTTGGCAAAAATTATAAGAAACCGATTGAACGTCCAATGTTTGCAGCGGTACGATTTTT